GCATTCCCAAGGGTCTTCGCATCCGCAAGGGTACCAAGTTGCTTGTGTCCCATGGTAACATGAAATCTCTGGGGAAGAAATGTCCGGGGAAACATCACCCTGACCATGTCCATCATCATGTTGTCGCCGGTTCACACCCTGAGGTTGGAAGTGTGAGTAGGTTTGCTGGCCAATACACCGATGCCTTTGTGCGAGCCGTGATGGACTGTGCACCCAAGTTGCGATGCAATCCAGTTTTGAGTGTTGCCTGCCATAGCCCAACAGAGTGTCTGGTTGCAGCCCGGGTCAAAGAGCTGAATGAAGAATCCTTGTCCAAGATGAAAAACAGCATCCACAAGTTGCATGAGAACCTAGGTCACCCGGGTAATCAGCATATGGTTCGGTTGTTAAAACATGGTGGCGCTAGCCAAGCAGCACAGGATCTCGCCCGAGATCATGCATGTCCTCAGTGCCAATCACGTGCAAAGCCGACTCCAGCGCTTCCGGCGCAGCCAGAACGTGTGACCACGTTCAACCAAAGATTGGGCATAGACATCAAGTACATAACAGGATGGAATACCAATCAGAAGATCCCAGCCCTCAACATGATTGACTATGCGAGTAGTTTTCAAGTTGTTGTTCCAATTTTTGAACGTGTGACCTCAGAAGGCATCCGCCGTGTCGTTCAAGAACGTTGGATCAGCTGGGCGGGACAGCCCGATGAAATCATGTGTGACCCGGCAAAGGTCAACATTTCTGAAGCCATGACCGTGCCGAATGAACTGGCAGGGTCAATCTTCCATATCACTGCCGCCGATGCTCACTACCAGCTTGGTAAGGTTGAGGTTCATGGAGGTTGGTTTAACCAGGTGCTGGAACGAATCACGCATGACATGTCACCAAATAGCAAGGAATCATGGTTGGAATGTGTTCATGCAGCCCACTGTAAGAATGAGCTGATTCAAGTTTATGGCATGACCCCTGCTCAGTTCATTTTTGGGCCGCAATCCCAAGATTCCTGAGAATCTGTTGGATGAGCCCTGCGAAATCATTCCTGCCACTGCCCCTTTGTATGAAGCTGAGGTGGCCAGGAAAGTTGCAGTCCGACAGTCTGCCCGAAAAGCTGTGATGGAGATGCAAGACAGCAAAGCACTTCGCTTAGCCTTGTCCGCCAGACCACGTCATCAAAATGAACCCAAGCCTGGGGATTTAGTAGCCTACTGGAGATCTCAGAAGTGGGAAAAGGGTACTTTGGATAACCAAGGCCGATGGCATGGGCCGGCCATAGTACTAGGCAAAGTAGGTAGGAACCATGTTGTTGTTCACAAGAGACAGGTCTTGCGATGCGCTCCAGAGCAAATTCGTGCAGCGACGTCAGAAGAACGTAAACTGATTCGTGCACCTCATGCCGAACTGCTGGGGTTGAAAGATGCCTTTGAAACCGGTCAAATCACCAGCAAGCAGTATGTTGATCTGGTCCCTTTGGACTACCCCACAGAAGCACAAGAGGGCAATCCGGCAATCTCACCATCGCCTCCTCCAGCGGAAGGTGAAGCTGCACAGTCGTTGGGTGATCGCTTAGCCGTTGAGAGTGGCACGCCAGAAACTCCATCTCAGGATAGGCCCCAATACCCAAATCCTACTAGTGTTTTTGGTGATGACATGCCCACTTCAGCCTCCTCTACCATAGATAAGAGCCCTGCTGAATCATCATCTTATGGCCCAGTACGTAGGAGGGTTAGTGGTAAGAATGGTCCCCAAGCCTATTACAGACCTGGTCCCATGCGCAATGAGGATTTTGCAGAGATGATGGATGAAATCATGCCACAAATCATGGAACGAGTCATCCAAGACGACTCAGCAGTGACAGATGCCTCCTCTCACTCACCGAGAGGAACCAGCACTAAGCGTTCTCACAGCCCTGACGATGTTGGAAGTCAGGGTCCGGCCCAAATTCCTCGTGTTGATGCCTCTGCCTCTGCCGCCAATGCTGAGGGATCGTCAGAAGTTCTTGCGTGTTGCCCCATCAAACATGGTTTGTCATGGTCCGACAAAAAGGAGCTGGTTGACATGTATCATGCTGGGGTTCCCATTGAGGTGATGTTGGCCTCGTATTACCAGAAGAGAGGGTCCAAAGAAATTCCTCATGTCAATCAAGAACCAGAACAACAGAAAAATATCGATGAAGCAAAACTAGCAGAATGGCACGTAATCGAAGGAAAACATGCTGGTAGGCTAGTTCTGGGTGAAGAAGCACAAGCTGTCCGTCAAAAACTTGCACATAGGATCATGGACAGTAGATATGTGGTAACACTCAAGCAAGAAGAAGACTCTCCCACACGAGTCAAAGCCAGGTGGTGCCTTTTGGGACACCGCGATCCGGACCTGTCAGCCAAAGCTCTTGAAGGCGCTTTGCAAAGCCCAACAATTTCCCAAGTAAGTCGAAGCATGTTGTTTCAGACTATTGCCTCCAACCGTTGGACACTAGCACTTGGTGATATTAAGGGAGCCTTCTTAGCTGCTGGACCGCTGGCAGAGAGATATAGACCTTTGTATGCACGTTTGCCACCAGGTGGCATCCCAGGTGTCCCGCCGGACTCCTTGATCGAAGTAACGGGCCACGTGTATGGTTTGAATGACAGTCCATCAGCATGGCAACAAAAACTGCACAAGGTTCTGATTTCTGTTGGATTCAAAGTGAGCCGTTTTGATGCCTGTCTGTATCAATTGCGAGATCAAGGCGGGAAACTGGTTGGAATCTATGGTGTGCATGTGGACGATTGTGCTACGGGTGGTGAAGGTGCTGTTTACGACTCTGCTATGAAACAGTTGAAAGAACAATTCGAGTTTCGCAAATGGCGTACCCTCGACGGCGATTTTTGTGGAGCCAGATACACCCAGTGTAGCAAGACGTTTGCAATCACCATGGGCCAAGCCAAATTTGCAAACAATCTGCGTCCTTTGCACTTGAGTCGCAGCCGTTGTGCCAACCGTGATGCTCCCCTGGATGAAAAAGAGATCAGCTGTTTGAGAGCCATTAATGGAAGTTTGAACTGGATATCCTCACAATCACGTCCTGATTTATCCACTCAAGTATCATTTTCTCAGCAGTCTTTTCCTAAACCCACAGTGGGAGATGCGTTGGCCGCCAACAACGCGATCAGACGAGCCAAGCAGCATGCTGATTTAAGCATAGTGTACAGGCCAGTCCCAATGGCAGAACTTGCCATAGTTTGCCATTCCGATGCAGCATATGCCAATGCTAAGGGTGGAGCTACACAGGCCGGGTATGTGTTGGGATTCACTCACCAAGACTTAGAAAGAGGGTTTACATGTGACTGGTCACCAGCCTACTGGAAGAGCCACAGACTTCCCCGAGTTGTCAACTCGACCCTGAGTGCCGAAGCGCAATCAATGTCTGGCGCTGCTAGCATGTGTGAATGGCTGTCCTTGCTGTTAGCCGAAATTCGAGATGGACCCTGCTGCGCACAGTCCCTGTGGGATGTTCCTCGCAGACCTCCATGCACCTTGGTAACAGATTGTAAATCCTTGTTTGATCACTTGAAATCTCCCTCTGCACCCTCACTGGATGATAGACGAACGTCCATAGATATTGTGATCATCAGAGAAAGTGTGCGTAGAATGTCTGCGTCAGTCCGATGGATTCCTACTGACCGAATGTTGGCAGACGGCATGACAAAAGAAGCCGCAGATGCCCTAGATCTCCTTCGTGCATGCATGAGATCCGGAAAATACCAAATCAGTCCTGAAGAAGATGTGTTGGAATGGAGAGCCAATGAGAGAAACCGCCGAAAACTGGTCGCTGAGAGACGTGCCAAGTTTAATGCCCACCTAGTATCACTGATAAATAAGTAAAAAGGGTAAAAGTAAGTATTGGGGTAATAATACTTGGGGAATGAGCCGTCTTTGCATGAAGTTGACATGTGGTAGGTGCCTGAAAGAGTGGACGTGCCACTGCAACATGCTGTTAGCCATTCTCAAACTGATTAGGTGCCAATCCTATGTTCCGATTCGTTGTTTTCATTGCTGCCGGTGCGATTGTCATGGCTCATCTTCCAGCGTCATCAATGAAGATGTCCAACTGGACGGATGAAGATCACAAAGAATGTCTCCGATTGATGCACAAGGCTCATGGTTGTGGAGTCTTGAAAGCCCTTGGCGAGCTTGTGGAGCAGGAAACCGATTGGTCTGTAGTGTCAGGGCGCAATCCGGAAGGCAACATGAGTGATGCAGCCAAGCGCCAGCGTAGTGATGACGAGGCCAGTGGTGTTTTGACCTCGTCCCCAACAAAGACGATGCCATCTCCAAGTCAGTTGACATATGCTCCGTTGCCGACTGCGGCAGCCTCTGGACCGATGGTGTTTGCAGGCAATGATCCAGCACCAGTGATTCAGCTGCCCGCTGGAGTGGCGAGCCTTGAAGTTTGGGGGCGCACCAAAGTGAGCTTCGGGAAATTCATGAACAAGCGCACCTATGTGTCCTTGCATCTCTCCACCGACCCTGAGGATCGTCGTTACAAAACCTGGTTGTTCGCACGTTTTTCCAATGGTTCACCACAGCTGCAAGACCTTGTGAAGTATCTGAAAGCTATGTGTGATGTTAGCGTAGCTGACAGCATGGAGGACAAACAGTTGGTGATGATCCCGGGCACGGACATTCCGCGCCGTTTGGTATGAGAGATAGACATAGCAGTTGAGAGTAGATACCAGTGTTGATGCAGTGCCATCCGCATCATGTCCATATCCATGGGTCAACTGCAGGCACAATTACGGCCACAAGGGAACAAAAGGATGGGCGCGACAGGGTTCGCGCGGTGATTGGGTGCTACCAATATATATATATATATACTATGTATATATATAAATATATATATATATATAGAGATAGATATACTATGTCATTGTCTAAACCACTACATATAAATTCCACTATATAAACCACAATGTAATCCATACACCTTCCACTAAATCCTTCGCCACTTCACCAGTTCCCCGTCGCAGGCACGCCACTGCTCCGGGCGGCTGGGGCTGGGCGCTTTGGAGCCATGAAGATCTTGCTGGAAGCACAGGTCCATGGGAAGCCGGTGCTAGGTGATTTTGATATGGGGATGGGTCAAAACCTTGTAACCCTGGTGAACCCCAAAATAGCTGGTAAATGGATGTTCATCCCACTAAAAATGTATCTATAGGTATTGACCCATACCCATATCTGGTTGGTGGTTTGGAACATTTATTCAGTGGATTAACCCTCTTATCCCACTTATAATTGGGATATACCCTCTGGTTGTGACTAACATAGCCATGGAAGCCATGGCCCTAATCGAAATAGATGATTTTCCCAGCTATAAACGTCCATTTATTTTGGGTTTTTTCCATGGCTATGGTAGTCATAACCAGATGGTATATCCCAATGGGCTCTTCACGGCATCGGGGGAACTATCTGTTGGGATTTCACCCAAAAATCATGGGATTTCAACAACTTAAACAGGCTGTGATGGCTTTCAGGTAGCAGGGGTAACCAGAATCAATGGATTGGGATTGGCAGCTGGGAAAACCCAACTTTTCTTTGAATCGAGATTTATAGCTGGGACGCTTTCGAACTGAATGGTAGGCATGCTTCCATTGCCCTATTTGAAGTTGAAACTTTAATCCCCACAGTTTACACAGCAGTTGCCTGTACAATCCTGTACATTTTCCCTTCAGGCGCAGCTATAAAGCAAGTCTGGAAATCAAGGCAAAGTGTTTATTTTGCAAAGAGGGGAAGTTTCCGGGACTTGGTTTCAGCGTTGCCACAAAATGGGCGATTTCTAAAAAGTGGGGGACCCAAAACCAGGGTGGGGGTTCAAGACTATTTTTATGTTTGAAACGGTATGTTTTTTTGGATGAATTTGGGTGTATCCGATTTTCAAGACAGCTTCAAATGCAGATCCTTAAAAAGAACCGGAATTTAATTACCAAAACGCGGAGCATCCTCGGAAATTGGACAGATTATTTCATCGAGCCAAAGACATGGTGATCACGTACAGAGATTTTCATGATCTCATTGAGCAACACACATTGGCATGTCATGAACCAATCAAAATGCATCATTTCAAAGATGGCTTTCATCCACCTGAAACATCCTTCAATTATGGAATGACATGATGATTTCAATTGGATGGTTAAACCTCCATTAAACACCATTAAAATCAGGCCATCACTAGGGAAATCTGATAAAATCACATTTTTCAGGGTGTGGCTCAGCCACATTTAGTGCCTACTGCTCCAAACATATTGGCCCAATTCTTTGTTCACAATATCTTCAAGAGTATCCCTGAGCTGAATCTTCAAACGTCTATATGTTCCGGGATTATCAACGGTGGCAATTGAACATCCACTATTTGGTTGGGTGATTTTCCCATTCAAACCTCAATTTTTGGGTGATGTTTGGGGAAACCAGAGGGTAAATCCCATGAAACATATCTCATTAAATTTAACCTGCGACCTGATCCGATTATCCATGAAAATCCTATAAACTCCCAGGAAATCACTATAAAATCCCAGAAAATCACCCTAAAATCCCATGACATCATTATAAAATCCCATGAAACCCGAAGAAACTCCCCGAGTTTCCCATCATCCCTGACCATCCGAAAGGCGGATGTGTTGCGTCGCGACAAGGCGGGCGAGACGCTGGGCGTGTTGATGGCGAGGATGGGGGGAGGGTTTCTCCTCAGTTCAATGGTTTCCAGGCCATTTTGGGGCCATTTTGGGGTTTCCCAAAATGGGGGGTAGCCATGGGTAGCTGGTTGAGTTGGATCGGAAAAGTCAAGTGGATCATGGGGTACCCCTATGACTTAGGAAAGCTCTAAGCTATGTGACTGAGTGATGCACTTTAGATTTATGCACTGATATGGCGTCATTGATGTGAACTTTAAAACACATCTAACTCTAATGACTCTAATGATGCAAATGTAGATGTATGTATAGTATACATTGATATATTGTGTATATTTTAGTGGAATAGAATTTCACCAGCGCCAACTGGCAAACGCTTTCCAAATTGAAGAGGTTGGACAGATGTTTGATCTACCACAAGATGGTTGTTGCACAAATGCATGAATCGCCACAGAACGCTGTCTAAGCGCTTGGTTTTCTACGACAATAAAGAGTCTATATGTGTAGATGATCTTTGTCTTGTTCATTTTCTTGAAAGTACAGTACAACTTGTTGTTTCTTAAATTGACTATTATCACATACCCCACAGGGGTATTACTCCTATAAATCAGCCATTATTGGGGAATATTAGCCATGTATAATTCTGTATAATCCATATTTAACCCATATCAATTCTTTGGCTGTTTGGCCATGTCTCCATTTAGGAAGATCTTGTACTTTCGTGGCTGTCTTGGCTAGGAACCAGCTTGCTGCAGGTTGCTGGGGTAACCGAAGTTTCCAGGGTTGGGCGAGGATGTTCCTCGTTAAAGCGTTTGGGTCAAAGAATGGGAATGGGACTAGGAAACCCTACAAAGTGGGGCCCCCTAGGCCCTAGATAGCTAAGTTGGTTTATAACTCCAATAACTATGGTTTATGGTACTTATAACTATAGTTACTGGGGGTTATAAACCAACTTATAACTGGGGGGCCCCACATTGTAGTCATGTTTAGTCAACTGCTTGGCGGACTGGAAGATCACTCTGATATGGTAAACTAACATAACTATGGAAATTGGCCCACAGAAATAGTTGATCTACCTATTATAAATGGTGATTTTCCATAGCTATGTTAGTTTACCAGAGGGTATATTTTGATGACTAAATAAACTAATGTTTATCATCAATGGGCCATGGCTTCCAGTTCGTTGGGCGGTTGGTTTTTGATGCTTTGGGAGTGTCAAACTCCAAGAAGTATTCTCTTGGATTTTTGAAAATGGAGTCTTCTGATGATGTTTTGTAGAGTTCATCATTACCATTTTTTTTTTTCAGATGGGTATGATAGCTATCCCATGAAGGGAAATCATGCATCATTCAGCAAGTTCTTCATGGGTCACTACCCATCACTAGACCATGACAGCCTTCCCATGGCCCATGTCCTTTTGATCAAGGAACGTTTTTCACATCGCCATCACCAGTCAGAACCTGGAGATGTGCGAGCTGCTCTTCGAACGCGCCTTGAATTTTGTTTTTTGGTCATGGCTTTCAGTGGGTTTGGGTGAGAGCTAGGGATCCCCTACATGCACGGGCCCTATGAATGGGGAACATGTACCGAACATATAAAACACATGTTTTTTTCATCCTTATTTTTCCAGATTTTTCCCCATTCAATCACAAGTTGATGCCATTTTCCAAGGGTATATCGCATTTCAGACACACCTAAGTACCACCAAAATGGGCTTTTGATTTCATCAGAAAATAAATCTACATCCTTTCAGACAAATACACTAACCACTGGTTGGTGCTTTCAAACATGTTTTATTTTCCATTTCATATATGGGATGTCATCCTTCCCATTGACTTTCATATTTTTCAAGATGGTTATTGCACCACCAACCAGACCATCACTAGCCCCAAATTTTCAGCATCCACATCAAGTGATCCTGCTCAATCCTGCTCGCAGTGGGCTGAATTTCTTCGTTTCTTCGCCACGGATCCCCAGATGCTGAGGTGACGAGGCTGAGCGTTTGATGATTCAAGAGAATGACGATGGGAAGACGGGGGCGCAGATGCTGTTGGACCTGCAGCCCATTGAGCTGCGGGACAAGATCAAGTCCATTTGGAAGGAAAAGAGAGGAGGGTAGGCGCCCACCATAGCCCACCTTTTTGTGGCGTGATGAACAAAAAACACTATAGACAAATCATGATCAAGAGATTTTTGTGATGAAAATCACTCGGCAAATCATGATGAAATGAGATATACTGTAGAAAAAAAGGAGGAGAACGATCCATGAACTATGCATGGCTTGGTGGAGCCGGAGAGGTGGGGAAGATTACTGACTGTATGTGTTGCCTCCAAATCCTCCCCATGACATGCCCAAAACCTGCTTCGTTTCATATGTTATACCCTGGGATAAATTAAGATAGATGTGGTTTTACTTGCCGATTTAGTTCGATGATTTGCCTATAGAAAACGGAGATTTTCCACATCTATGTAAACGTTTACCCTAGGGTAATCCCAAGTTCCTTGGTTCAGAAGCATGGAAAATCACGGAAGATCATGGAAAATCCACCCTGAAGAAATGGCACGAAAAACGACGGGACAGACTGGGTGCAGGTGCAAAAAGAAGGGGCGGCAATGGACCTGTTTTTCCCATGAATTGGTCATGAATTGGGGGAATTCTCTATCGGTTTTTTCCGACTTTTTCCCATCCTGAGAGTGTTGCGAATTACCCTCGGGGAATCAAACATGGTTTGCTAGAACATATTCCATTTACAGTTGATTTTCCCATTAAGAGCTGCATATTTAGGGGATTTTCCATTGCCATTTGATTACCAGGGAGTAACCATTACAGCTACAATCCCTTGGAAATCCGCTGGCGTACTGCTCATCTCCCGTAGGCGGAGCGCAGCATGGCTCTGTACAAGGCGCGATGGTGGCATTTGATCATAGAAACCAGAAAACATGAAGAGATTCATATCAATGGCCATTCCAGGAACCCAAATTGGAGGTTCCTATCATATTATAAGGCCTATGTAAGGGCCATGGATATCCCCAAAATGGATAGTTTATAAAAATGGAAAATCCCAAGCAAACATGGATGATGACCGGGGGTACCCATATGACTTAGGAAACCCCATATGGAGATATTTATTCACCATGCACGGGATACCAATGGGATGATATAGCCATTCTTTGGGAGAGAACCATATTTGGAGATACAACAGGGCCATATTATTTTGGCATATGTATGGGATATAATGGGATGTATATCACCGACAATATGATGTATATACATACATGGGTGTGTCTGAAAATGGGGCAACAACCTCAAATTGGCAATTTTAAGAGAGACAATTATTGACTATCGGATTTAGGTGTAGCCAAACAGACATGCAACAGCAGGATTTGAGGTTTTTTGGATCGTTTCCATCCATATATTGGACATCTTAAAACCACAATTTAGGTGCATTGAGATACCATGATGTGGCTTTTCTTGCTCACCGTGGCGGCGCCCAAATTGAACCTTGTCATCTTCCGTTGATTGGACCAATTGGATCAAGCACTTTGTACCAACAGGACTTTCCAAGATCCATCCTCTACTTCTTGGTTCTAAATTGGACCCAATGGATTGTTCTAGATCCTGAAAATATGGCGTCCGAAAATAGAATACCTCTAAAAAAATACTGGATCATCAAAGCATTTCATGGCAATTTCACGGTAAAAAGTACACTGTGTATACACTTTTTTTTTGTCACACCCATGTACATCATATCATAATATCATTATATCATTATATATCCTGTACATATACCCATGTTTATATATCATTATATATATTTAAGGCACACCCATGTACTAACACCTTGTTTATATATTTCATTATATCCTAGAGATTGTTAGTCGGTAATGAAACATGGTGGGCTGGAAATTCCACCCATTGAGTTCGATGATTTTCCCAGCGAACGAAACCTCCATTTACTTGAGGACACCGGAGGGTATCTAAAGATAGGTAGCCACCAAATATATGTCCCAATGATAAGCCATTGGTGTGTGTCCATTGGTACAAGGTGCCCCACAGTTAGCTAACTTGGTAAACATAACTCCAATTTCACTTGGCTTTAGATACACGTAGATACTTAGATGGGCCATGGAGTTAGTTAACTAGTCCGGTTTAATAGATCTTGGAATTTGCCAACTGTTAACCTACTACCCAGTTATCCACTTGCCAGTTGGCCATCCATGGCCCATCCGTTGTCGGGGCACCACCTACCACCTCGTCGCTGCCACTTGGCCACTTGACCATGGCAGGCTGGTTCCCAGTTCAACTACCACTCTGCGGAGGCTCTTCCGAGGTGGGGATCATTGGGAGAAACTTCGCAGGGGCCCCGGGCATCGCGGGCATCGAGGTCGTGGTGAACATCACCTGGGAATAACCTGGGAATAACCTGGGTCCCACACGAAACAGACTGGGTTATATGATGACATAATCCACTTGCTAACTTGGATGCCAAGTAGAAATAAACTGATTCCAAGAGGAGAATTCGCAGGAAAACGACACGTCGCAACATCGTGATCCTCGCGATTCAATGAGGGTTCATCGTGGGGGAACAACATGGCAAAACTATGCAACAACAACATGGTCATATTTCAGTTGAGCGCATGATTTGCTCAGATAGAATGGCTGGTATAGATGATTATGAGATATTATGAGATATGGGTACGTCTGGATCCATTTTGGAGCCCAGAAAAAAGGCTCGTCGACCTGGCCTGGTGATGAACATATTTTCTGGAGATGTTGGGCTTGGTATTTTCTGAACCTGTTTTTTTTTTCAGGTCCCAGTTTCTGTTTTTTTTTTTAATGGGGTTTTCTGAACCAATCATCAGTGTTTTTTTTGGGGGGGTTTTAATTCACCATCAGTTGGTAGGTCATCTCGATGGCTGTTTTGAACAGAGGTGAGGATCGGCCTCACGAAGTGGAATGATCCTCCAGTCGTGGGCGCGGCAGGCCTAACTCCATGAAGCAGAGGGCTGGTCTGGATTTCACGCAGTTGGCGCAGGCGAGCACCGACCATGGTGGCATGTTTCGCCTGTTTCGCTTTTGTTTTGGCGGCTACTACATACCACCTATAGCCAACAGGCAACGAACATGATCAATCATGGTGATACGCAACAAACACGGAGATTTCAGATTAAGTACAGGGTGCTGGATGTACACGAAAGGAGTTGGGAAGCTGCAACAATTGTGGTGATCTTCCCAAAATCAACCAATATCTGGATGCTCAGAACTTGGGAGTCCATGTCGTGGTGAAACAGCGAGCTCATGATTTGCACAGTGGACACAGGGATGACGGACTGCAAACAATAATGGCAACGATGGTAAGGGACATACATGTTTCCTGCCATCTGCCATGGTTGTCTTATTGATTGTCTTGTGTTTGTTCTCCACTGAGCATATTGAGTCTGTATCCCCACCAGTTTTGGTGTTTGTTGACGTTTTTGCTGGCTACACCATATCCTGTACAGAACATCCATAGAAAATAGAATAACCCTTTCCATTGGTCAACCAAAATTTTCCACATGATTTTCCACATTGACTTGACCATAAAATGGGAGCTAAATCCCGCAGAAAAAGCAGGTCACACACAAAAACGGGGAGCTAGATCCCTTGAGCTTGGATGGGATAATTATCTATGGGGATACACCCAATCATTATCTTCCCACTTTTCCATTATAAACCCTTTGGTAAGCCATAACATAGCCATGGAAAATCACCATTTTCAATGGGCATATCAGATATAAGTGGTATGGCAACCCCAAAAAGGATGCCGAGAATTTCGAAAAGTGTTATTTCAGGATGGTGTTTTGCTGATATTTGCTTATAGTATATAGTTATATATAGTAGTTGCTCCATTTTTTTTCCCAGGATTCCATCTATTTTCGGCATCTATCTTGGGGTTGATGGATCCGTCTCCCCCGAGACCAGAACGCGGTTGTGTTTTTCGTAACGGGGGATGGTGTGGAAGGGATTGTGAATTTCCTTTTGAAACACTATCAGATAAATCTGGCTGTGTATATAGAATTCTATGGATATATAATATTATATTACATAATATTATATAATAATATATTATATCTATGGTGAGACAGCAATTATTTTATCTTTACGGACTGGGGGTTACAAATCCACTATCAGTTCCATAGTCTTCTGATATCACTTGGATTGCGGGTCCCTCCTTGGGTAGCGAACTTCCCAGGAATCGTCAGTGAGTTCCGAATCCCAGTTGTAAGTGGATTAAACCTACTTATCCCACTGGGACATAGCCCACTAAGTGGGATGAGCCGCCAAGATCCGCCAAGTATATATATATATATGTGGCTATTTTTGATGTTATATACCATAGCTATCCATAGCTGTTTTCTCGGGTGAACATTTATCTACCATAGTTGATGGTTATGAATTTTTCACCATAGTAATTTGTTTTTTTTGGGACTTCCATCCGTATATCAATCTGGAGGACGTGACCACGTGGCTCAGGCAGTGTTGCACCTAGTGGTTCCACCCTGCATCTTCCTCTTTGCCGCTGGGAATTCATGGGATTTCAATGGGGTGGGGTTGGTGATTTCGTGGACATTGATGGTGATAGGGATTTGAATGGGAGGTAATGGGATTTAATGGTGATTTTAATGGGATTTTATAGTGATTTGAATGGGATTTTATAGTGATTTAATGGGAGGTAATGGGATTTATGGTGATTTTAATGGGATTTTATAGTGATTTAATGGGATTTTATAGTGATTTAATGGGAGGTAATGGGATTTATGTTGACAAATAGAGATTTCACCAACAAACCTGGGGATATGAATGGGAATTACCCTCCAGAAAACGAACATAGCTATGGAAGATGGACCATGTGTAGATAATTTACCTATTAAGAATGGTGATTTTCCATGTTGTGTTAAATTATCAGAGGGTAATTAGATGTTCACATACAGTATCTCAACCAAAATGAATAGGATTTTGATGTGGAAATATCGGACTTTGACCAACACAAAACGTGTTTCACTTGTTGGTTGTTTCTAGCCTGCAAACATGGGACTGTAACCAGCAGGAACTGTATTTCTGAAAGAACACATGGGATT